GATGGGTAGGAATGGTCTCAACTGTTATGGATGACATACACTGTTATCTGGTATGGTAAAAGGTCGTTGCCTTACTAAGATAACAGTGGATGGGTGGGAATGGTCTCAACTGTTATGGATGGTATACACTGTTATCTGGTATGGTAAAAGATCGTTGCCTTACTAAGATAACAGTGGATGGGTAGGAATGGTCTCAACTGTTATGGATGACATACACTGTTATCTGGTATGGTAAAAGNTGGATGACATACACTGTTATCTGGTATGGTAAAAGATCGTTGCCTTACCAAGATAACAGTGGATGGGTAGGAATGGTCTCAACTGTTATGGATGGTATCTACTGTTATCTGGTATGGTAAAAGGTCGTTGCCTTACCAAGATAACAGTGGATGGGTAGGAATGGTCTCTACTGTTATGGATGACATCCACTGTTATCTGGTATGGTAAAAGGTCGTTGCCTTACCAAGATAACAGTGGATGGGTGGGAATGGTCTCAACTGTTGTGGATGGTATCTACTGTTATCTGGTATGGTAAAAGGTCGTTGCCTTACCAAGATAGCAGTGGATGGGTGGGAATGGTCTCAACTGTTATGGATGGTATACACTGTTATCTGGTATGGTAAAAGATCGTTACCTTACCAAGATAGCAGTGGATGGATAGGAATGGTCTCAACTGTTGTGGATGGCATCTACTGTTATCTGGTATGGTAAAAAAGGGCGTCACTAACCTTTCAGTATTCACAAACTTAACAATTACATTTTTTACCATTTTTCTCCTGAACATGTCATTTTTTCACATCTGATACCTTCCTTTCGTCAAAATAACTCCACTTAATCTCTTTCTAGACATAATATAAAGTGCCGATCATTTTAGGAGACACCTGTTTAAAAACCAAGTTAAAAGTGATTTTTAATGTAATTTACTTTAAAGATGTACGCTTCATTAGCTTCGCCGCTTGAGAAAAAGCGTGGCGGCCCTAACAGTTAAGTGAAGTTAAGAGTTAAATGTGGGAGTTGTTTATAGATTATATATTTCGTGCTGAATCGCCACTCTCCGTCAAGTCTTATTGCCGCCATGGAACTGATGAAAGTTTTAGTGGAATAAATGACTGTAATGGCTTTACGTCTTGGAGCAATACTACTGCAACTCAACTGAAATCATAGATAAGAATATGTGGACCGCATAGCACTTATGAAATACATGAAGATATAGAAATATAGATAAGTTATAGTGCTTGGGAACGAGGTTATTCCTGGCAAAAGCCCTTGGAATTA